AGTATTAACTTTTGTCTAGTATTTCTTTCATCTTAATTTGAACTGTTTTTCATCGAAACAAATCAGTCCATTACCCTATGACTATTAATAGAAATAAAACTAAGCGCTCGAGTCCCTTTTAATTTTTGAAGCTCGGTTTGCATAATGGCTGTTTTACCAGGGAACATTCAAAAAGTTCACGAAAAATTAAATTAAAAGCCGATATTTTAAACTATAAGCTTTATTCTGTAAGTGATGGTAGCAGCCATTTAAACAAATCCCAGAAGAGCAGAGGGTTTCGAGAACTTAACCATATCAAACCAGCATTTTTTATGCCATTAATGGTCTAAAATGGCTCCATTTTTTAAATATTTTAAGATTAGCAAATAAGAAAAGTCAGAAGTTATTAAATTAAAGTGGATATTTAATGATTTCCCATCGAAATTCTCGAAATGTTCTTTTTTGATGAGAAGATTTGGCAAGGAAAAAAGATTCTCTGAAGAAGTTTTCCATGATGATTTTTTTGCTAAATATTTAATTAATTTTCTCAAAACCCTTTTGTAATTAACAGATCTACATGGAGTCCATAAAGTCACTTTACAATTTGAAAAAAATTATTACAAAAGCAAATGAACAGGCAAATATGTGGAAATTGTGACAAAATGAGGAGTAGAGATTGAATTTTTTAAAACTAATTTAATACACCTTTAGATGGGCAGCATTAGGTGTACGAAGCACATCAAGACGGTACTCGATTTCTTGCCATGTTTTCTGTAGCAGAGCCTCATCAATGGTGCCAATGGCATCATCGATCTTTTGCTTTAGAGCAGTGATATACCGTATATTTGTTCGATACACTATATCTTTAACATAACCCTATAGAAAGAAGTTCTGTAGTTTCGCTGAGTCTGTGTATCCGATTTTGTTTCAATAAACCATGATACATATTGTGCCTTTTCTTGGGGAGTAGCCATTTTTAGGAGTTCATTTAACAGTACCTTTTTCATCAACAGGATACCTGAAATACACAAATACAATCTGATTAAAAAGTTTGATAACTACTGAGTACATAGAACAACTCTGATTATGGTATTTCATCAATTGTCTTTGTAATATATTTTTTTAAATTGTAAAGAAACATTACGGACACCTTGTATGTCTTCAGGGTCGAAGTGGTAACGTGAAATTTCATCTTGAGTTATAATTCAGTTCCAATCTTTTAGGATTTCGATTCAATTTGTTAAAAATTTTCATTGAAAGTTTTGCTCTTGTCTCCATAGTTTTGGTACTCACCGAACAGAAGTTTTACTCAACTTTTAATTTATCAGATACAAATGTAGGGGCTGAACAATCTGTGATGTCTGGAGTAGCAGCTGCCATTTCTACGATTGTCGTTTACCTTCGATCATATCTCTAAGAACATCGATTTTTCTCACTAACTGATATTGATGATCTGTTGGTCTTTTCGTCATCTTCAACTCCGTCTCATTCTTTTCTTTCTTTCTTTAAACGTTATCCATTTTCAAACTGCTGATTTTTTCAGAGAATTATCTCTATAAACGTTTCTCAAACCACCAACGCTCTCAGTCTTCGAAGTTTTACCATAAAGTCGATGTTGGTTACTGTTTTAATTTTAGCAGGACTCATGCTGCTCTAAAAAAGCATCATTTTTAAACTGGCATGAACTTCAATCTATAAGATAAAAATACTTTAAAACAGGCAAAAAATAATGAATTCCTACGGCCTTAGTATAATTCTTCAAACAAATTTCGGCTCATTTGTCCATGGGTGTGTCACCCACCGCACTTTGGACGACGAGATGACTTTAAAAATATAATGGTTATAACATGTAAGTCGAGTTCCATATTTTTATTAAAACATGCTTTTCCACGAGCTTTTAAATGTTTCTCGTACTTTTAAGATTGTCAGATTCAACTGAATTTTGTTAGATGTTGGAGCCCTGGGCACGTCGCGATGAACGATGTTTTCTCAGGGTGGCCCCGTGCCTCGAGTGCCTACTGGGATACAGACCTCAAGTGGAACTCGTACATACTATCCATTGCTAAAAATACTGGGAAAACTGTCAGTTCCCTCTACGGCACCCGTAATTACCCTCCCCTCCCTGCTCTCTCCAGCATTTACAAGAGCCAGATCAGGCCTAAAATGATGTACTCTTGCTATATATGGATAGGAGCTACCTAGTTTTCACTTTCTAATCTGGATAGAAACAAAAAGTGTATCCGCGGCCTTGTAGGTGATGTATTATTTTCCACTCTACAACCTCTTTCTGACAGACGAAACTTTGCAAGCCTCTCACAGCTCTATCGCTATTTCCATCGCAAGAGTTTAGACGAATTACATTTGTTAGTTCCATCAGTTCTAACATCCACCTCTCAGACTCGCTATACCACGCGTGCCACCCTCATTCCCTTCATATTCCATTAGTGAGATCTAAGTTTTACTGGAACAGCATCTTCCCACAAACCACTACTTTGTGGAACCGATTCTCAAGAGGATGCTTCCCCGATCACTACAATCCTAACCTGTTCAAGTCTAAGTTTAACTGTTATCTTTCCAGCATATCCTCTTAAGTGTTTCCCTTACCTCTTACTCTGCAACCTCTACCTCGAGGGGCTCTTGCGCTTTTTGTACAGGGTGAATATTATTGTACAAAAAGACAAGTATATTATCAAGATACCTAGTAAACCGTTGTTTACAAGACATTATTGCCTGTCTGTTCCCCACTCTTTCTCCTCACCTCTCTCCTCACCCCCTGCCTCTCCACACCCCTCTCTCTCTCTCTTTCTTTCACCTTTACTATTCATATCTCTCAAAATGTTAATTTAGCTTTTTCTCAACATTTTCCATGCGACTTAATGAATATTTTTGCCTCCTTTTTTCACTTACCAAAAATACATAGAAGGTGCTATTCTGCTGACATGTTGTTTTCTCGTGAAATAAATTTTATAGCTGTCAAATTTTGTTTCCACAGTCATTCAAAACGCCAACCAATATAGAACGTATTTAGTTCACTTCTACACTTTAGAGTTAACTGGTAGTATTGGTAGTTAAACATTTTCACCTCAAAGGATAGCTATCTCTATATTCGCAATTAAAAGAAGGAGATTGAATTATCGTGCTTATACTGCCTCCATTTATTTTTTTTTACGTTGTTTGAAAATCTAAAGGCAAATACTAAAGTGAAGAAACTGAAATTGCAGAAGCGTACAAAAGTAAGTTTTGAAATATTTTCTTTTTTTCTTCTTGCTCGGCGGAGAAAAGTATTTTTGGACTGTGGCGATGAACACGAGAATCCAAAACGAAAACAACCGTAGCATAATCCAGGACAACATTCAATATCTTGCCGTAAATAGAAACTCTAGAGTGATACGTATTTCTCTCTTTCTTAAAGTTCAAACTTCAGATTTGTTTTAATTAGACATTTTTACATTCTGGTTATGTATTTGATGCAACACTTGATTGCATTAATTGATGAGCAGATTTCGAAATTGATATGACAGTTGCAACAAATATGTATTGTAAGGCACTACCCGCTGATTGGTAATTTCTTGCTCAACTTGACGTCCACACTATCTCATCTTGATCTTGCCGATGTGACCTCCATCTTCTGGATTTCTCCTTCTATATTTTACATAGGAGTCATTCCGTTGTTCAAATTTAAATTTAATTTAAATCAAAGGGAAAAATTTCAGTGGGTGAGTTTGTTCCCCTTGGTCTTCCCCTATCTGATTTATATTCGAGAAAATGTTATTTCGTTTGAAGATCTATTTGAATGTTAAAGACCCTTCTCAAAACTATAGAAAATAACAAAATATTCGTTGTTTGCGGGGATATTTATATCTTATCAAGGAATGTGAACCAGTTATTAGCATCCTGTTTTTTTTTCGTTTTCAATACAGATTCTTTGCATATCACTGAATATTTTTCGAGTAGCATTTGTTGAAATATCTTTTTAATACACAAAATCCTATGTCACACACCAACATTTCTAATTGCCCACTATTTTCTGTTCAGTTGCTTATCGCCTACCAGCAGTTGAAATCGGTCACCGGTGAGCAATATCACCCAGGTTGGGTATCTCTAGGTTAATGCCTCCATTATACCGCTTCGGCTTTCCATGTGGTCAGGTGCTAGTGATGGAACAAGGGAGTGTTGCAGTTGGTGACCGACGACAGTTTGGTCCTACAGAATCCAGCGCAAACAACATATCACTGCAAGGGTATTTATAGGAAAGCGAACACAATAGTCCCGACTAGAATTTGAACTCAAGATTCCAATCCCATGTTCCGCGTTGATCATCATCGTGCTAAGCGCACATCCTTTATTTGTACTTATACCGTAAATAACTAAACTTCTTCTTCTTCTTCTTCTTCTTCTTCTTCTTCTTCTTCTTCTTCTGTGCACCAGTTTCTGTTGGGCGTGGGCGATCATAGCAGTCCACAACGTCCTGTCCTTAGTAGCCTTAATGTTTGTCTTAATGTTTTGTCTTTTTTCTAGCTCTCCTAATCCCTGTTTTGCCAACCATTTACAGAATCTCATTATGTAGTTTACGTACTCCGTTCTTCTGTCACTCTTACCTTCACTATGTCCCGTGAGTGTCAAGTTTTCTAAGCCCTCTTTTCTCATTATGTACCCTAGAAATTTCAGCTGTCTCTCTCTCATGGGTTTATGATATTCTCAGTATCCTTCTGTAGAACCGCATTTCTGTTGCCGTAAATCTCTTTCCCATCTGTGATGAGATGGTCCAGCATTCACTACTATATGAGAGTACCGATACAAACGGAAAAACAAAAATGATCAAATGCGAGACATGCAGTTATCAGATGAATTTGGATCTGAAATTTTGAAGGTTAAATAAATCCAGTATTTCTTATAACTATAAAACTTATAGTTATTTTGTACACGTGTTTGAGTAGAGATGCTTAATATTTTTAGTACTAAAATGTGTTTTATCTCCGAATTATTTAAAAGAAAGAGAATCAGACGAAAAAAAGCTTACGGCCACATTGAAACACTGGTTCTCGGACGATCATCGAAGTTAAGCAATGTCGAGCCTGATTAGTACTTATATAGGTGATCGCTTGGGAATACCAGGTACTGTAAGCTCGCATGTGTGGGTAGTCTAATGGATAATGGCTCGGAATTGTTTATCGTAGAGCTGAGTTCCAATTCCAGTTGGGATCGTTATTTTCCCTTACGCGAAAATACTCTTGGGAAAAGTAAGAATCCACCCCTTCTCCCCATGGCTATGGGTTAATTAGTAAGATTTGTATCTATAAACCATTATTATCACCTTCACAAAAATAAATAAAATTGCGTACAAAATATTTAAATTTCGGCATTAAATAACCCATAGAGGTTGATATGTCGCTAAGAAAAACAAACAACAACCAGAAAAAAAAATAATCAAATTCACCCCATGCAAGGTAGTAAAGCCACTAAGATGCAAGGGATTACTGAGTGTGAAAGAATACGAAAAAGAGAAACATTACTAAGGAGCGAGTACAATAGAAGAGTAATCAAAAGACAGTAGATAACGATTGACATTGCACTTGAAGATCAAAAATATCATGGAACAGGAAGAGAAAAGAAACTGTTAGCATAGTTACGGTTAGGTTAAATCTAGCCAATTTAACTGTGAATTCATGAAACCTTGCCGCCAATCTAAACCTGTGCATAAATTTATAAAGTCTCGCTACCATAGCGAAAACTTCAACCGAACAATTACTATGAAATTATTTATAAAAAGGCATAGAGAAGATACATTATGGCGGTGGGAAAATAACTGAAGCCGAAATTATTATTCATTATTAGGTTATGCTATGATTTATACGGATCTGAATATATTACTTTTCTTTGTTATTTTCATGTGTGAATATATTTGTGATCATATATAATTTGTTATGTATAGATTTATAGTTTTTAATAATTTTATATGCAGCGTCATGTCCGAGGACTATTATGGCTCGCCACAACCCCCTATCTTACCCTATAGCTCTAGGGAAAGATTATCTTACTATGACTCGCAGGACATGTTCTGACATCCATTTAAACAATTTCCTTAGGTAAGTTGCTCGCTATTTCCCATTGCGTCTCCAGGACCTGCGATTTATGGTCCTCAAAAATTTCCTCATCATTTGTAGCTCTAAGTAATGTTTGTTACTTAATCATCCATCTTAGTCAATATTTTGCCATCCATTTAAATTAGATCGGTAGGAAAATTATTTGCTTTTTTCCCCACTGCCCACTTCGGGTTCGTTACATTCGCTTACGCACAAATACCATTGGTAAATGTATGAATCCATCTCCTTCCCCCTAGTATTGGTTAAGCAGTAAGACTTGAATCTGGAAAATCATTGTTATTCTAAAAAAATCTTTTAATACAATATTCGCTCTTGATAAAAGAGTTATTATCATAATACAAAGTAAATTTCGATTTTAAGTAACCCAGAAAGGGTTGATGAAATGAAATCAAACAAAATTAGTGGGCGTCAAGTGATTAAAAACAGAGGTGATTGAATAAAATCATTGAGGACGTCACGGATGCTGCCCCGGAAGCAACGAGAGTGGTCTCCCGATTTTACGGCATTGAATCTTTTCATTTAATTTCGCTCTGCAGCGCAGGTCAAAGCCCAGTTCCTCGAATAGGTGAGTTTTTTCAAGACTATAGTCTTCCTTTCTCTTCACATGGCCTGCCCAGCACTGATGAGGCTTTTGCAGTTTATGTTCATTGACTATGACTGACACTGTTTCAGTCAAAACACGCCATACGCGTATGCTCAAATTGATAATCACAACTAAAATAGCAACCTTCAGTGGGACTTCGGTATTTTCGAGCCGCTGGTTGACCATCCTCTTTATGATATCCCAAACGTAGTAGTCTAGGTGATACAAATCAGAGTTAGGAGGTTACATGTTCGGGTGAAGGGGATATGGTGTTAAAAATATTCGGCCAGTAATTCTTTGGTCTCGAGGACCATATGGACTCTCACTCGATCCAGGATTTGACCACCTTAAGAAGCCTCGAGGTGTAAACGTTGTTATTGAGCTTGAGACATAGTGAGAAGAATTTGGGGGTGTCATGACATGGCCCTTATTGCTCACGATCACGAGAAATATCACGGTTGACGTGAACAGGGTGTGTACCCACGTGAAAGACCATCAGTCATTACTTCCCGTTCATCTGGCAACTTTAAAAATAGTATTCTCTGAATCGCTGCAATTAGCGGTGAGTTGCACCAGCATGGTAGATGTTTTTATTTTATTTTACTATTAAAAGGCCCACAAGCCACTCAAGGTAGAGTTTTACTGAATGAGATTGTTGTATGAGAGTAAGAGGCGGATGTAAGAAGTGCACTTTATGAAGATATATCGGAAAGATAACGGTTAGCCCTAGACTTGAAGAGTTTAAGATTGTAGCGATGGGGAAAGCATCCACTAAGGAGTCTGTTCCATAGTTCTCGTGTCAGATTGGAGGCCACCATGTCCGTGCTCTGAAAGGGAAATGGGCATGTTAAAATTTGGTACATGACGCGTAACATTACATTAGCCATCTTCCATTTATGACCAGTTAAATATCTGCTCTCAATCCGGCGTATTTATATGCAGTGTCCTTATACATACATACATACATACATACATACATATTCTTTTATAATGTTCTGAGAATTCTCTCATCAGAGTTACTAAACAAATATAAAGCTTAATTTTTAGTTTTCATTTCTTTTACTTTTTTCGACGTTTTACCAATCGGCAACTGTTCGCCTGTTTCTTTCTAATTCTTTCACTTTGTTAATGGCTCGGCTGTCATTTTTGTTTGGACAGTGTTAAGCAGACGACATGTTGCCTATCGAAGTGCGAATATGGCGGATAGAAGGTAGGTATAAGGGGGTGCTGGCTGTAGCCAACCACCCTGACAGCTACACAAAAGGTGAACATCAATGTACTAACGCCAGGTAAAACGATTTGCTGTTTACTTGTTGACACAACCGGTGACACGGGACACTGTGCAAATGTGTGATATTTGATTGTGGAGTGTTTTAACTAAAGAGTTCAAGAGTCTATATATGGTTATGGGAATTGAATGATAAAATGGAAAAAAATCCCATGTGACAAGCTTCATTCTTTGAAAGGACGTCTTCAGAGTAAATAATGTTTTTTTTTTTACTGATGGAATTTAATATTTGTAGGATAGGGACGAAATATAACAAAGGTCGCTTATACTTATACATCGAAAGAAATGTAGATGATTCAGGGACATTTAAAATGTAAATTTCATATTTCTGGTACCTGATATGTCTCGATGTACGGTCTAACCGACCCCTTTCAGTTTATTGCCGCTTTTTGTTTTTGCTTCATCGCTGTTTTAAATATATGATCCCATCATTTGAAAACAAAACAGTCTGAAGAAGTCCTTTTTAAGGATGAGTCGCGTCACATAGAATTTTTCCATTTTGTCAATCCATTATCGTCAATTACTTTGATATGAAGTTTATATTTCATACTAGCAGTAGAGCCCGGCGTTGCCCGGGGATGTAACAGTAAGAGATAGATCAAGTATCGACCATGATAAAGACTGAAAAATAAAATTGACAAAGATTATTGTTTAAGGTTGACGGACACGCATGTCTTATTTAGTTTTTTTTTTTGTTTTTTGGGTTTTTTTTACGAATTGGTCAAACTCAAACAAAAACATTGTTTTCAATCGTTATGAGTCTATCGATTGAATAGAATTTTATTATAAACAATTGTCTTGTAAATGGAATTTTTAAAGCATTCTGAATGTAAAAATAAAGAAAAAAGTGTGCAAGACAATAAGAAACACTACCTGCCAAAAAAAAGTGAAATTTTGTTGAAATTGGTTGAAAAACGTAGGAAATCCGATCCCATATATAAACGAACACATATATAAACGAACACACACACACACACACACACACACACACACACACACACACACACAACCTGGTTTTTCATAATAAGTATAACTCGATATGAGTTGTCCCCCTTTCATTCTAGTGTTTTATCGTGTTTTCAAATTGATTTACTGTAAAAACAATTGTGTTTTTCCAATTTTTGGCGCTGTCAGAACCGCCGCAAAGTAATTTTACGCTGTCCTGTGAAGTTTTGTTGAAATCGGTTGAAAAATGTAGGGAATCTGATCCAATATATAAACGTACACACACACACACACACACACACACACACACACACACACACACACACACACACACACACAATCTGCGTTTTATAACAAGTAAGATTCTCCCATATATGTAAATGTGTAAAATTTTAAATTTATAAAAATGAGAATTCTTTGATTTAGGTATAAATGTGTACATTAATGCTAAAATACTTTTGAGCCGATGAGCAGGTCTATATTTGTACTAAATATATTATGGTTGCATGTATATATATATATATATATATATATATATATATATATATATATATATATATATATATAGCAGCATAGCCCGGCGTTACCTGTGCTTGATTCAAAAATCGTATGACTCATACAGCAATCGCTATCACTTGACTTAAAATATTTTTGCCCTTCCTTGCTTTTAAAGGAGTGCCCTTAGCCGTGCTGACGTTGCTACATGCCTTACTTCTTGCCTATCTCACACTGAGAATTTTTTCTAAGCTCTATACTAAACATTAAATCTGTTACGAAAAAAAATTAAAAAAATGAACACAAAACAATCAGCTTTAAAAAATGAACTCGTAACTGGAAAAACCGAATGAAAAAAGAATGTTAACAACAAATGCTTTTGCACATCCAACCCAGTTCTGTGGAATCGGAATCAACGTTGAGTTTAAGCAAACGAATGAGCCAATTGGAGTAAAGTGCCATGCAGATTTAAATTTTTCCCACTTGTGATGAATGCAGCTATTGATTTTTTACATGCTATTTAACATTCGTGTCAGTTGGCTCTCATGCTGGCCAATAGAATCTTCCTGCCTATTCGTGGCAGCCAGCTATTGGCTCTCATTCTGGCCAGTACAAAATGGCCGCAAACTACATGAAAACTGCTGTAGAAGCATGAAAAATCGATTATTTCCACTATCGATGGGAGTTGGGAAATGCAAAGTCAGTCTCGG